TTTTTTCTTTTGTCTTCGTAGTCACTGACCCCCTTTATTGGAACCGTAGCCCTCACTATGCACAACGGTGTATAGTTCCCGGTGTGTTCAATGTTTTGTCGCTTTCGGTCACCTTTACCGTTGTCTTTCTCGCACTCTGTTTTTATGTTTGACCTCAGGCTGCCTTATATTCCACGTATTTATGCGCTTGAATCTTCTGAATCTTTCGTTTCGAGCATAGCTCGTTACTTATAGAGTTTCGAGTAGAGTTGACGCCCGCGAGATATTTCTACTCGTATACTACTCGGATTTGTCTACGATGTGGTTCACGTTTTAGCGATAAATAATGAAACAGTGAAGCAATTATTTTGAATTATTAATCTTATCTTTTAAATCAATACGTCGTACGCAGTTTTATATATATATATATTTAAATCGTATAACAATATATTTATATTAACATTACCGACTGATAATATCGTGTGTTGATATATATAAATATATTATTAATATTATAATATTATATTATTATAATGATGTTAATAATTATTATTACGAATAATATTTATAAATTATAATATTAATAAATTAATTATATAATTAATATATATAAATATATTATTATACGATATTAACACTTTACCGACTGGTAATATCGTGTATTAATATATATAAATATATTATTATTGTAATAATATTAATAATTATTATCACAATAATACTTATAAATTAATATTAAAATATATAATATTCATAAATTAATTATATAATTAATACATATAATTATATTATTATACGATATTAACACTTTACCGACTGATAGCAGTAGATAGTAGCCGATTAATAGACTTTCGGTCGATAAACTGTTAATATCATATAATATATTTATATATATATATTAATATAATAATATGTCATTTTCCAATAACAAGCTCGTCCACCTTGAACAATATTACTTGCCTCTGAACGTGTATTCGTATTTTCAAACAAACTAGAAATATTGCTGGTGTACTTGTATTGTAAAACAATTAATTTGTTGCACTGTTTTACTATTCGTCGCGAAAACAGAAATTACTCGAAATTGTATCGTGTGGTATCGCGACTTCAGTCTCAACGAGAACTTCAGCTTCGAGCAAGAGTAAGTTCTGACTTCACGTACATACGTTATCATTTTGACACGTAGCAAAACACACGCAAAACATGTCTGTCAGAAGTTACAGTAATGTTCCAACATATGTTGGATACACAAGGACGTAGTATATATATATAACTGAATTTGGATGGGTGAGACACGTGACTGGAATCACATTATACAAGTAATAATTACAGATTCTGGGAAAAATATCACGGAACGAACATTAATTGAAAAACTGTCGATAATAATTTCATTCAAAAATCTGCCCAATAAAAATTATCGAAGTTCCAACGATTCAAGCATCACGTGTCTCAACTTTGCGAACAACGAATAAATCGAATGACAGAATTCGATTATCAGAAAAATCGTCGAATACGTGGAATATATCCTTTTTCGGTTTTTATTTCTCTTTTTCTTTCCTTCTTTTTTTTTTTTTTCGTTTTTAAAGAACAGCATGGACCACACTCCTTTGTTCGATATTTTTGCAATCACCGATAAGTGTGTATCAGAACCGACCTGGCACCTCTTTAGTGTGATCATAAACCCGATTATTAAATGGATGTGTCCATTATTAAATGTTGGTACCCGAAGAAAAAGATGCGACTAAAGAAAAGTAAATCGATCGATCGATCCTCCCTTCTTGACTTTTCGTCAATTTTTTTTTTTTTCTTCTATTACTGACGGTGGCCAGATCGGCCCTGATATATATCTCTCCGACAATTTCTTACGCGATTTTCTCACGTCTCGCGAGAGACGTGCATCGCGTGCGATCTTTTTTTTTTCTTTTTTTTTGTTGACTTGGCAATGTTCGTTTCTAGCATCGCCGAACATGGTCGGTGGGAAGTTGGGTCTACGAATGACCACCCTGCACGAGGAGACGTCGAACGCTGGGAATCAGTTGTCAACGCCTATACCCGACGAGGACGAAGAGAAGAGCGATGCTGATTACTCGGAATACGATTCGTATCAGGTAGTACACGTCCCTGAATTTCGAAGATATATATATATATATATATATATATATATATATATATATATATATATATACAGGGTGGTTCACGTAACTTACACTTGAAATAACTTTTGATATAATTATTAAATATATTATTAAATATAATTATTTAATGATTATTCAAATATAAACATTATTATTAAATACAATTATTTAATAATTATTCAAATATAAACATTATTAAATACAATTATTTAATAATTATTCAAATATAAATGTATTATTAAATATAATTATTTAATAATTATTCAAATATAAATGTATTATTAAATATAATTATTTAATAATTACTCAAATATAAATAAATTATTAATATAATTATTTAATAATTACTCAAATATAAATATATTGTTAAATATAATTATTTAATAATTATTCAAATATAAATATTACTAAATATAATTATTTAATAATATATATTATATATAATATAATTATTTAGATTATTTATCTGGCGTCTAATAGAAAATTGTTTAATACAAAAGTTGTATGGTTTCGAGGGAGGGAAAATATGGCGTATCGATTTTTTGTGGATTTCGAAATTTCCAACGTCATCTTTATTTTTTCTTAATTGGACCATATATTTTTTATCATAAATCGAGAGAAAGTAAAAGTGTATCAAGCCACATTGGTTCTAACCCTAGTCAAGGAGATGATATATGGTCCAATTAAGAAAAATAAAGAAGACCTTGGAAATTTCGAAGCCCACAAAAAATTGACACTCCAAATTTTTCCCTCCCTTAAAACCATACAACTTTTGTATCCAGCAATTTTTCATTAAACGCATAATTTGAAAATTACTTCAGGTGTGCAAGTTACGTGACCTGTATTGTACATACTATATATCTAGCATAGTATAGTATAGTATAAAATACCCTGTATTGTACATACTATGTATCTAGCATAAAACTATAGTATAAAACTTGCATTAGAGGACAAACGTTCTACATTTGAAATATAGATAATTTCCAAAAGATGGAAATAATAAAAAAAAAGAAAAGCGTATAAAACTTATATACTTGTTTTTCATTTGGAGAAGAAATATTATAGTATCTCCCAATACTCTCATGATGTCATTGTTGTTGTCACACAATCAAGTCACACGCGATTACGTTCAGGCACCGGCGAAACCAGTAAAACCGCTAACTTCTTCACGCACACTGGATTCTCTCGTCGAACTTCAATCGACGAAGATCAACACGCCAAGCATGAGCAGCAGTGGCTACGGTTCCCAAGCGGTGTCCACGACCAATCTCACGTCCGAGGACTCGATCTCCGTCAAGTCGATCAGCGTGGACGAGACGCCGGACTTGGAGTACCGGAATCTGCTGGACAGCAGGAAACCAGAACGGATGGACAGCTCGCTGGTCGAGGAGACGCCGGAGGAGTACATGGGCGAGGTGACGAACGCGTTGAGCAACTTGAACGTGATGGAGAACACTTGCGGCGAGGGTTAGTTGAATGGCTCTCGAAGTGGGGGGCAAATGCTCAAGTAGTTTAGACACAATCTGTACTGGAAGAGGGTACTGTCTCTGAAGAAATTCTCTGCCAAAAGAAAGTAAAAGTATTAACCTTGTTCACGTCTGAGGCCCATTAGTTTAGGAGATAAAATTTGAAGTTTAGGGGATTGTGATTCTCATAAAATTATGCATAAAAGAAAAGAAGTGTGAATACAAAGTGAATACAAGTCTTTCATGTGACAGATTTTATAAAATGAAAGTAAATTGAAATAAAATTAAAATCAATTTAAGTAAATTGAAATAAAATTAGAATCAATTTAAGTAGATTAAAATAAAATTAGAATCAATTCAAGTAACTTAAAATAAAATTAGAATCAATTTAAGTAAATTAAAATAAAATTAGAATTAATTTAAGTAACTTAAAATAAAATTAGAATCAATTTAAGTAGATTAAAATAAAATTAGAATCAATTTAAGTAGATTAAAATAAAATTAGGATCAATTTAAGTAACTTAAAATAAAATTAGAATCAATTTAAGTAACTTAAGATAAAATTAGAATTAATTCAAGTAAATTAAAATAGGATTGAAATTAATTTAAGTAAATTAAAATAAAATTAAAATTAATTTAAGTAACTTAAAATAAAATTAGAATCAATTCAAGTATTTAAAATAAAATTATAATTAATTTAAGTAAATTAAAATAGAATTGAAATTAATTTGAGTAAATTAAAATAAAATTAAAATTAATGAAAGTGAATTAAAGTAAAAATTAAAGTATCTCCTTAAAACTAATAGTTTTTCAGTACACGTAAGTTAATACTTTCTTTTTGCAGAAAATGACCTGCGTCGACTGACGTCAAAAAAAAAAAAAAAAAAATTGCACAATTATACTAGAAGATGTACTATTATATCTAATACTAGTACATAAGTATAGTATTATACTAATAAGAAGATATAGTATTACATTCAGTACTAAGATGTGGTATTATAAAATTGCACAATTACACTAGAAAAAAGTAGTACCTTCCTACATACACATATATCTATCTGGAGACAAACTAAATTACTGCCCTCTGAAAACACAAAAAAAAAAAAAAAAGAAAAAGAAGAAGCATTTGAGACGAGTAGCTTCGAAGAAACAGGACACCGTGTACATACGAAACGTGATATTTCATGCATCGCAGAGCGTGCCAGGAAGAACTTGGAGGAAACGGGCGCCTACATGGACGCGGACATCGACAGCCCAGTCTCCTCGACGAAGAGCGACAGCGACGCGAATACCAACGTGTCCGGACGCACGAGCTCCATCCAGAAGAAGGACGTACCGAGCCAGATTCTGAGCAACAGAAGGAAAAGCGACATGGAGATCAGCCAAACGTCGAACTCTGGGGAGGACAGCCCGCTGGAGGGTAGCTCGGTCGTGCACACGAAGCTACCACCTGGCAAGGTAACGTCGACGAAACTTTCTCCTTTGCTCTCTGTTTCTCTTTCGTTGACATCGTCGACGCGATGATCCCGCAGGTGGTGCGACGAAGGAAAGCGTCCGCCAGCGCTGGAAGGCCTACGAGTTCTCAGCACAGGGCCTCGTTCCCCATGGTCCGTCCACAACTGTCGGAGAGCAAGGTCGCAGCGCGGCTCGAACAATCGATGCAGTCCAACATTCCGTACGAGAACGGTGACAACAGCTCCTCCGAACGAATCGACGGTAGAGACAATTTCCTGATAAACGAAGTGACCTCTTGACGAGTCTTCAACCAGTTAACTGCGAGGAGGGACTTGCAAGGAGAAGTCGGGGCAGTTGGGTCGTCGATTTTAATGAAATTTGGTTTGTCAATTCTAAAGTAAATGTAATTTGACTATGTCCGAGCATTTCAGTCAATGATCATTATTTACAGAGATATTTAATGCTTTAATCTTCTACAGGTATATATTATAGAGATATAATTCTTTTCTTAATCTGCAAGTAGTAATGTAGTAGCGAAACTGATGGTGTAGTGAATTCATATCCGGAGATTCCATTCGAATATTTTTGTATTATCTCTACTTTTGTTTTCTTTTTAAGTATCCTTTTTTTTTATGTAGAATACTGTGTTTTACATTTTTATAGTATCCCTAATTATTAATTTATTTAAAATATCACAGAAATAGTTTTAATATAAAATACAACGTCGAACATTACAATTTTTAATAATTAATATTTTGCAAAAGAACATTACAATGTCTAGGATAGTAAGCGTCATAAAAGCACGAAAAGCATAAATATATACCTGGCAGTATGAACATTGTATAAATGCCATATTATTGCACGAACACTTTGCGTTTCTTACATCATCTGGAAAGCACACTTGGTTTACATTGAAAAATATGGATTTATGAGATATTAATTTTGTTGCGTACCAGAAACATTTAACCATTGCATTGAAAACTGATGCAGATAATTGATTATGAATCAATGAATGAATTTTGATAGCGTGAAAGTTCATGAGTCTGTGAAATTTCTATAGCATTCTATAATATAAGGGACATTATAAAATTGTAATAATGGCGATGTAACTAGAGACATTATAAAAATATAAAACACAGTATTCTACATTAAAAAAAAAAAAACAAAGAAAAGAAAGAAAGCAAAAATAGAGATGATACGAAAAAAGTTCTCCTGCGAGAGGTTCGAATCCTAAAACTTCAAGGGTATGAATATATTAAACTACAGCTTCGCTACTACATCACTATCTTCAACTTTAAGTATGTATAGCTGTAATAGAAGATTAAAACATTAAATATCTCTGTAAATAATGAGTATTGAAATGCTTGGACATAAATTATTTTTACTTTAGAATCGACAGACCAAATTTCATTAAAATTAACGACCCAACAGCTGTGACTTCTCCTTATTAGGTTTAAAAATCAATCGCGGGAGGAAAGCAGTGACTAGTATACACGTCGAGGGTAAAAGTAAATTTTATTCGATGAAAAAAATTAACATTTCTCGTTGTTGAGAAGGTTACTGTTATTAAAAATGTCTAGAAATAAATTCACAAACGAGAGAAATTAATGAAGAAAAATAATTTCAAGAAATTCAGTTGATTTCAGTATGGTGTTTTTCAAAGAAAAATGATTCCTTACGGGGGAAACTTCTATTCATAAAATAGCAGTTTTATTGGCAATATACCGTCAAATGACATTTTTATTACTTCTTATTGAAATCTGGAGTTTTTAAAGTAATAAATGGTATTGTTTTATTTTACATGTGTGACGAGTATACACGTCAACCGCATTTGTATATCACATAGAACGCTGGTAACTGGTTAACGAGCAATCCTTCTGTTCCTCTCATTTGAAAATTTCATAGATGACGTGAGCGACAAGAGTTCTGCGTTCGGCTCGAGACACGACTTGAGCAGAGTCGAGACTCCTCTCCCAGATTGGGTCATAGTGGGCGAATCGGTGTTGGTTCGCCCGTACAGCTACTCTGGTGTCATAGCGTACGTCGGCCCAACGGAGTTTGCGTCTGGGACGTGGATAGGAGTCGAGCTTGACGCCCCGACTGGTAAGCCTCCCGCTTCTATCATATTCTTCTTCTCTTGGAAAATTATACTCTTGATCGTTGATTTTTCTAACGATCTTTGCAGGTAAAAACGATGGTGCTGTGAATGGCCATAGGTACTTCACGTGTCGACCGAAATGCGGGATCTTCGTCAAGGTGGACAAACTGATTCAAGACAAACGTGGCCGAGCACTTAGAAACTACACTGTCTCTGCCCCTGCACCTGCACCGATGCGTCGAAGCGTCAGCAGAGGTATAATACATAGTACAAACTCTTTCCTACACGTGTTACGAAACATCTCAACTGAAGAAGGTTAACAATAATATAACTTGAAGAACCAAACGTCAAACTGTATTTGCTCCCCGCAACAAGAAGCCCTCAACAAATGCAGATATAACATAATATCTGGAACTAAGAAGGTTAACATAATATTTAACAATATTTAACAAGGTATTGTTAGCCTTTTTCAATATTTAAAAAGAGACGTTAACAATAACATAGTTGAGGACTTGAAGGACCAATCATTAAACTATATTTGTGTTCAAGAAACTCTCAAATGTAACATAATATCTGAATTAAGAACGTTAACATAATCTTTAACAAGGTATTTATTAATCTTTTTAAATATTTAAGAAGAGTAGTTAACGATAATATGATTCAGAACTTTGAAGGACCAAACGTCAAACTGTATTCGTTCAAGAAACTCTCAATAAATATAAGTATAATATAATATCTGAATGACATAGATTAACAAGAATTAAGAAGAGAGATCAACGATAATATAATTCAGGACTTGAAGGACCAAACGTGAAACTGTATTCGTTCAAGATGCAAATACAATATAACACCTGAATTATATGACACCTGAACGATATTATTTAGCAATATTTGAACATAAATATTTAGCAATGCTTGAGAAAGTATCGTTAACCTTTTTTAAATATTTAACAATATAATTCACACAACTTGAACGACCAAACGTCAAACTGTACTGACGTCAGGGAACCCTGAACAAATTTTAAACGAATGTTCATTCCAGGTGAGGGACTACATTCCTTGCACCGAAGTCGGAGTCGAGGGGAGGGCCTTTCAACGACAGGCACGCGATCCTCTACGCGGGGCAAGTAAAAAAAGAAAAAAAGAAAAAACAAACGGACCGCGACACCGCTTCACCAGTAACTTCGTTTTACTAATAAGCCACTAAATAATCCTAATTGCTACATGCCTATGAATATGTGTAGCAGCAGTGTTTCAGTCCCTTAGACGTGTTAGGGCAGCTATGGATTAATTAATTAATACTTACGAATATTACTTGAAATATTAGGTCGTTAATGTGTATCACACAAAGCATGGAAACCGTTTTTTCCTCGAAACGATTTCTTTTCTCTCTTTTTCTTTTCTCTTTTCCGGTCTTTTTCTTTTTTTTCATTTTCATTCTCATTTTCTCGAGCTCACCCAGAGGCTTCTGTTCTGGGAGCATAATTTAAGGGTATATCTACAACTACTTCTCGTATTTTCAGTAGTGTAGCGAGAACAAAAGAGAGAGAGAGAGAGAATATAGCGCGAAAGAGAGGGAGAGAAAGAGCGTGAGAGAATGAGGAAAAAAAAAAACAAAATGCGTGCGCGCAAGAAATATTCGATGTGCAAAGTTTCGATTTTGCGTATCGAAAGTCAGAAAGATGTTCAATCAAATATACTTATGTATGTAAATATATATATATATATATTTATATATATATATATATAAAACTTGTAAGCATTCCACAAAAATGTTTTAATTTCAACGACTGAGATGACGACAAGCCATTTACCTTTTACGTAAGAGGAAGCATCGAGTTTAGTTCGCGTATATAATTAATTGTACATTTTTTAACGCTAATCGAAGAAGGAGGGGGAAAACAGAGTCACTTATTTTGATTGATGCGGTGAAAAAAAGGAAAAAAGAATCGAGTCGCGTTTTAATCAACCAATATTCCATAATTTCTAATAAGCGTCGATTGCATTTAAAGGGGAAATAAACAAGAAAAAAGGAAAAAGAACAAAAAAAAAAAAAAAGAATAGACTAAGTATCGGCACGAATATTAATTAATATTACATTATGTACAATAACCCGTATATGGATTAAAATAAAAGGGAGAAGTGACAATTTGGCAATGCTATGAAAATTGCCAATTGAGATATATATATATATATATATATATATATAAAAAGAAGAGATGATACTCTCCAAAATTGCCAGAACGGTAATTTTGAAACAAACGGAGGAGTACGCCAACAGAGACGAATGAATGACAACAGGACGGCCAAAAACTAAAAATAATTATAAAAAGTAATGATTTCTTTCTCGAGAGACACACACATACACCCACATACACACACACACACACACACACGAATTTACCGCGTTGCATAGATTATTTAAAGATTTTTATATATATACAATTGTTTCATACATATATATATATATATTGTATTTTTTTAGCGCAATCTGTTAAGTTCCTTTTTATTGTAACATATATTGAATGATTATTGTCCTCTGTCCGGCATTACGTCGTTAACGCGAACATGACACGCAATTAATTTATACACGGATGCAGAAGTGCATGGAGGAACCACTGTGCTCTGCGTGTTGCATGCGACGATGGCGATGATAAGAAATATATTCAACACTGATCGTTTTGTTCTCTGTCCAACATCGGGAAATATTCTTATTTCTTTTTCGATTGACTGACTATGATCGTGAATGTTGAGAAGATATATACACACGAAGGAAGATCAAGTATCGACTCGAGGTAATTTCCATCGCGTCTACTTAATTAAGCGAAATTATCTCGTCGACGATCAAATTCTAAAAAGAAGAAAAAAAAAGAAAAAAAGAGAAATTTCATTGCCAATGTTTTTTTATTCGGAAGATAGCCGACTCGCTGGCCAGTGTGTGTCTCCTCTTCTGCGTGCAACACGATCACACAATAGGATCGCAATACTAGATTCGTAAGATTTTAGAATAGTAGATGAAATCGAATTACAAAGGGACACACCGAGAGCTTGCTTGAAACTGTTGATCTTGAATTTGTTTGCGTACGACTGCGTTGAGATCCGACGAATTCTTTTCTTTTCTTTTTTTTTTCTTTTTCTTTTTTTCTCTTCTTTTCTCCGTTTCTTTCTTTCTCCGTGCTTTGTCTCGTTGCACGTGACTCGTCAAAGTTCTTGGCTGGAATTTTTCACCGCAAGACACATAACTCTTAATATATTTGATACATTTTTGCTCAGTACGACGCGATACGACGATACTGATGATTTCTCGTTCGACAATGAATGAGTCCCACGATGCTTAAGTAAATAAATCACAAAGAAGAAAGAAAGAAAAAAAAAAAAGGAGGAGGAAGATAACGAGGGTGTGAAAGGGGTGTAACTTGACGATGAAATGGTCGCGTGTAAGTGGAAAGAAATCAAACGAAGGTGTACCGCGTATTTTTTTTAATTTACCTAGTAAATCGTGTGGAGTATATAAGAAACAAAACGGTACGAAAAAACGAAAAGAAAGGGAGAAAGAATAAATGATTAAAAAAAGAAAAAATATAAAATAAAGTGTAACGAATGAGCGAAGGTGTTAAAAGAAGCTTAAGGTGTAATCGTGAAGGAACGAAAGAGAAAAAGAAAGAGGAGCTAATGATTCGCCTAAATTGTGAACAACATCAACCAAACAAGCCGCAACAAGAACAACAACTTCTGTCCAATTAGAACAATACTAAACGCTATCAATAATGAACATATATATTACTGTATGTAATATTTATTGAATATAAATAATAAAAACACGCCTGCGACGCGACGTTTTTCCGTGATTTCACGTAATTTAACCGAGAAAAAAAAAAAAAAAAAAAAAACAAGAGACTTCTGGTTAGCTAAAAAAAAACGCTAAAGCAGAAAAAAGAAACAAATGAAAGCGCGTATTTTACACGAAAAGGGGAAACGCCGCGGGCGAAAGGTATATATCTCTGTCCATTTTTTGGTAATTCAGGATTATTAATGATGAAAGAAAATTTAAGACTCACAAGTGTCACAGTGAGATGCTACATGCCTACCTGGCGGATACACGAAGTCGACGAAAGTTTTTCTTTTTTTTTTTAATTATTATTATTTTTCCCCGAGAGTATTAATAAATTCCGTTTTTTCTTTTTTCTTTCTTTCTTTTTTTTTTCGGATAATCTCGGTTCGTTCAGTTTCACGCAATTGTAAAATATATTGACAAATATATTCTCCGACGACTAATTTCAATGTAACAATGTTTGAAATTGTACATACATGGATTACTTTTGTTTCTTCCGTGTCGTTTTTCTTTTTTCTTTTTTCTTTTTTTTTTCTGTTTCTAACTCGTCCCAAAGATCGTTCTGAAGATCTTGCAGTGGAGCATCTAGCATCGACGGAGCTTACGCAGCCTATTCCATCCCGACGATAAGACAATGTCCATTTTTTATCGTTATTAATTATCTAATACGATGATGATAATCGTTCAACAACTATACTTTATACCCTATACGGAGAGATTCTAGAATAATATTTTCGACCAATCGGTTTTACCACAAACGTCTCTTACGAAGACTTCCGAGTTTAACATTACCCATCCTTCCTCCCCCTCTTTGTCCGTGAGAGCGAAGCTGCTGCAGCCACAGACAAGAACATACCACACAGAACATACACACGGTCTAAGTTCCAAACGAGAAAAAAAAGAAAAAAAAAAAAAAAAAAAAAAAAAAAAGGAATGGGGGGAGGGAAAGAGAAGGAACGAAGAGAGAAGGGGAAGACAAAAGTGAGAAAGAAAAACACGTGGAAACAAAGGGTCGCACGGGTCCATTTTTTCGAGAGTATTAAAGAGGAAAAAAGAAAAAGAAAAAAAATAAATAAATAAAAAATAAAACGCTCCGTAAATCTAATCGATTCTCCTATTTATCTACGAAAAGGCTGTGAGACTAATCTTTTGCCGTTTTACGCTGCTCCCTCGTTTTTCTACCCGCTGCACCGGTACCATTTTACGCGTCCATCGATTCCCCCAGCTATTCCGCCACTTTTGGCTGGACTTTTCGCAGAAATTGCAACGTTCGCTCTGACACACACACACATATACATACACATACATACACACACACGTGCTTCAGGAAGAGAAAAGGGAAATGAAACGATCACGATTACCATTATTTATGGGAAGTTTGTTTGGGAGAAAAAAAAAAAAAAAATGGGAAGATTGCAATTTCACAAGTTTTTCGAACTGGGATTTTATCATTTCACGAATACTTTCATCATCTTTCTTCATTAAATCTTGGATCGTTTTTTTTTTTTTTTTTTCAAATCTCTTTGTCGGACACTTTTTGAATCTAGCCGAAGTGTGAAAGTTCTACGCATTCTTCGAACTTTGAAAAACACTTCCGAGCGTCTGTCTATCGATCCACCGATGAAATCGAGAGTTTAAAAAAAAAAAAAAGAAAAAAAAGAACAGAAGAAGAGAAAGAAACCTTGCTCGTGGTTTCGACGAAGGAAAACTTCCCTACAAGAAAACACCGCTGTCCGCAGAGCCTGCATCCCCCCCTCGCCCTCTCCCCTCCCCCCGCACTCACAGTGTCGTCAATTAAATAATACGCGGAAGCGCGAGCATGTTAATATTGAATTCGGAACTCTTCTGAACGCTTGACGGTGAGAGACTGTTCGAACGATCATCGCTAAATAAAAGAAAAGAAATAATAAGAATCCACACGTATGTATATGTAATAACGATAAGCGAGTCGAGATTGGTGTTATATTTTAATATAATGTGTAAAAAAGAGAGAGAGAGAGAGAGAGAGAGAGAGCGAGAGCGAGCGAGAGAGAGAGAGAGAGAGAGAGAAAGAGAGAGGATATGCGCGCAAGCAAGGAGAAAAAAAAAAAAAAAAAAAAAAAAAAAAGAAAAAAGATGTACCATCGGACACAACACACACAGAGATCGGTATTTTAGACGTTTATCGACACAGTATATTGTAAGAAAAATATTGTAGCTACGATGTGCACCAGCTTCAAGGGAACTCCAGACAACCCTCTCCACCCACCACCCATCGACCCCCCCCCCCCCCTCGAGCTAGCGATGCCGAAGCCGACACTTGTACATTTGCTGAATCGAACTTGGTGCGACCAAATAGAATCGTCGACAGTGCAACTTTTTCGTTCATTGTACCTTCTCGAGTCCCCGATCGAATCGGAACGACTGGCATTCCGTTCTAACTTGCTCGACGCAGGGTGGCAACGTTGCTTCGGGCTTGTCAACGAGACGTTTGAATCGAATGGGGAAATTTTACTTAACAGTAAAACAGATTTTAATAGTTAAATAGTAAAACAGATCAGATGAATATTAACCTGTTGCAATACTTTCCCTAGAAATGCCAACGTCAGCCTATAAACATTTTCCCAAAATTATAAATATTTTCTCAGTTTTCGGTGATAGTCAAGTGAAGACAGAGTAGGCAAAACGAATAATAAATTTTACTATCTTTCGATCGCTTCTATCCATCCAGGCGATATCGTGCCGACGAGTACGAAAGGAAAGCGACGGAATTGTGCTTTTGGTCACTCGTTACGGTCCGCAATTCACAGTTGGCCGGCGCGAGCGGTGTGTCGTCGACAGCGATTTGATTCGATTGCCAGTGTTGAAACATCAATCCAACACTATCGTCGGTGAAATGCGTGAAAAACTCCAAAACGAGCCACCGAGAGAATTCGATTCAAATCGATCGTAGAGGAAATATATTCGCGCGGAACAGGAACTCTGAATTCGATCGAGGATATATTCACCCTCTGTAATAGCACGTAGAACGCCACTTCGGGCGAGCAGAACGAGAGAGAAGAGGAGTTAGACGAGAAATAGAAAGAAAAGCATTGAAACAAAAAAAAAATAGCAAAAAAGAAAAAAAGAAAAAAGAAAAAAAAACGATCTATACTAGATTGTAAGGAAATTCTTTGGAAATTCTCTGTAGATACGTAGATATCGCTGTGTCACTCGCTCCGGTGCTAGACGACCGGAAATAGGAAAGCCTATTTTTGCATTGCGTGATTAAAGGCAGAGAACGTGTTTAGAGTCAGTCAGTTTCCCCCTTCCTCCCCCCCCCCCCATACACACACATACACAATTCTATTCGACTTCTTGCGTAAGACTGCGTGGACGACTCGCAAGGACGATTCGCGGGATGTTCCGCCATTTTGCAGGTGTGTTACGTTGTTGGTCGCGTGATCAAATTGTGCGATCCCGTGTGTATTTTCACTTTGCATCACGGTGATTCCGCCGTGTCTATTTCGCAATTCACTGGACCCTACGATTTGCATTTACAAAGTAGAAACATTTCGTTCGTGCACGATTGAAATTGGTTTCTGCACGACATGAGCGTAGATTAAAAAAAAAAAAAAAAAAAAAAATTAAAAAAAAAAAAAAAAAAAAAAAAATTGAATCGAAAATAAGTTTAATTAATTTTACGTTAGTACGTATTGTGATGCTTCGTTGTTGCTTGGAAAAGAGAAATCAAAAAACTTAGAATGAAGAATCAAAGGGAACATTGAAATTCTAGTAATGTTACGATTAATTTTGAGAAAATTTTGCTTTCGTACATTCAACTAACAAAATAATTTTCCCGGAAATTTAAATAGCAATTGTTGCCTGACGATAAGTGGGATAATGGGGGATGCAAAATGGCGAGGAACATCGAGCAATCGCCTCGATATTGTAACGTCGCTGTGGCCACGTTCGCGAGAACGCACACCTAAATCGAATCCAAAAGCCAAAGTGTGTCGGGGGAAAAAATTTTCACGAGAATATAATAACAAAAGCGACATGAAACGAGACGAAACGATCAATGAAAATTGCACGTGAAACAACGTAGATCAACAGAAATATTAATCAATATTAATCAAATATATACGAAGAATTTTGTATTTTTGGGAGAATTATCCAAAGATCGTGAGAAAAAGGGGAGTTTGAACGTTCGCGATGGGCGAACATGGCCAGAGCGACGACTCGAAGCCTGGGGACTGTAAAAAGAATAAAAAGTAAAAGATAAGTCAAAGGCGCTTGGGCGACTTTTTATTTCGCTATAGTAGACAGAGTTTGAACACGACACGTCGTCGTCCCTCCCCCGACAGCAAACATTCAGAGATTCGCATTTGAACTTTTAGACTTATTAGCTAGCGATCGAATTAGCGTTCGTATATCTTTCTCGCGCACGCTGGTGCTACAGTGCCCTACAGTTGCACACGGAGAGAAACGCTTCATCACCCGTGGACACGAACACGAACACGAACACGACACGACACGACATGACACGAAAGGATCACGGAGCCACCCGATCGAGAGAAGGCAAAAAAGACCGAGACAAACAAAAAAAGGGGGGGGGGGGGTAACGAAGATCGCACTCGCGTTGCGTCGACGAACCGTATATCGCTTGCACGGTATATCTGATCGTCCAACTTGCGTTGTCGCAGTCTTTTTTCAGCCTTGTCAAGCGTTTATTTATCCCGACGAAAACGAAATTTTCCCCCCGTGGTTTTTGTTTACGAAACGAAGAGGTTTCTATTCTTCGACAATCTTCGATATCTCTATTACACACATACACATATACACACATACACATCCGATCGCAGGCGTACGCACTAGTGGCACGACGTGCTTAGCGGTGAGAACAGATAAGTAAGAAAACAAAAATAGTATATGATACATTAAGAGTAAAAGAAAGGAAGAAAAAAAAAAAAAGTATAGCTAGAAGATATATTCCACGTAATTTTTCTCTTCGAAGTGGGTAGAAAAAAAGAAGAAGAAGCTAATCATAACCTTTGTTTGATTCGAGTAGAGCAGATTTAGGTTAGGGAAAAACACGATGACGGTGAATTCTCCCCCCTCAATTTATCGCCGAAGGCAGAAGTATCGTTCTGCTTTTCTTTTCCTTTTTTCGATCTCGTAGGGCCATAGGGAGGGCTGAAGATGTAAATCGAGCATAGGAGCACCTTCATCTCCCCTCCCATGATCACTCACGCACTCACACACACACACACACACACACACACACAAACATAAAAATCGGAAACTGTGTCGTAAACCAGAGAGATGACTTACTCGTGTAACAGTGTTATTTTGTAAGCAGTCAATAATATTAATAATCTCGTCGGAAGTAAGCTACGAAGTATACCACCGTATCCCCCCCCCCCCCCCCAAGAAAAAAAAAAAAAAAAAAAAAAAAAAAAAAAAAAAAAAAAAAAAAAAAGAAGACAAAACAAAGTTTCACGTAATTCTTTTCGTAAGCTCGTCTCGTCTCGAGAGTACCTATACCTCTGTATTGTTAAATATTATACATACTGCGATACTTGCATAGAAGCTAATACGAGTATGAAACTTAAACAATAAGGTGTGTACATTTTAATTTTTATGAATATAATAAAAGTATAATTTAATGTTCTGCCTGTGTGTGTGTATAATGTGTCGAAATATCTGACACACGTGTTTCCCCTGCAAAGCCTTTCGTTTGTCGGCAATTTGTAAAAGAACGGGAGTCAGATCCACAAAGGGTTTTTTAATATATTTAAAATATATTAGAAGTATTTAATATTTAATATATTTATATATATATTTTTTATATTAATATACATTATATATTTAATATGTTTAAAATATTTTAATATATTGTTTAAACGAACGGCATACACACCGTTAAATTCGTCGTTAAAAAAACACCAATTTCATCAATTTGCACGAAAACTGCATCTTCGGTAATTTCCGAGATATTTGATAAAACGTGTTCCGGACCCCCTCAATTTTGAGGTTAGTTTTCACCCCTTCAACATCGACGACGATTGCCGATTAAAAACAAAAAAAAAAAAAAAAAAAAAACGGATCAAACATTTGTCAAATTTCATCAAAATCGATGACTGACACTTGGATACGTTCCCTTGGGCCCAGTTTCGGAGCCAGGGTCCCAACGAAAATTCAGTCAGCTGATTATAAATACGCTGCTTAGCATAAATATTAACGCAGACAGCGTCGTGACGCTTCCGGCGATCAATGGTGACAAATGAAAGTGCATTCTTTGTGCATTTGACTCTGCGCGCCCCACCAGGGGGCAAGAAAGAAAGAAAGAAAGAAAGAAAATGGAAGATTCGCATAAGCAGACCTACCATGATGGTGACTCTTGGCCTACGACGCGTGCACACGCGTGTATGGGCCCAATTTAAATATAATAGGATGACTCCTGTGGGAATGTCGGCGACACCGAGCCGACAGGGGGGTTCCAAGGTCCTTTTTGTCCGAGAAAACCGAGACGCGACAAAGATCTCTCGTCGAAACAGAGAGCAAACAGCCGATGCACTCGAGGAACAACTTTTTCTCGACGATCGTCGATAGACTCGATGAGAGGACGTCTGCGATTAATAGTCTGCCACTTGTATACGCTCGCCTCTCAGCCGGTATTTGCTCGCTCGGTAAAGCAACTATGGTAAATTCCCGCGCAATTTTCGTCGAGTGGTTCGCAAGATTGATGCACGCGATATGTACATATGTATATAGAATTAAAAATTTTCCGGTTATTTTCTGGTGATTTTCTAGTTAGAAATTTTCTACAGAAATTTTTAAATTTTCCACGCACGGTAAGTTTTGCAAAATCGATACACGTGATGTGTATTTGCACGTATTAAAAATTTTCCAATTATTTTCTGGTAATTTTCTAGTTAGAAATTTTCTAGCAATTTTTAAAAATTTTCCCTGTATGGCAAGTTTCGCAAGATTGACGCACGTGATATATAGAATTAAAAGTTTTTCTAGTTATTTTCTGGCAAAAGTTTCTAGTTAAACATTTCCTATATACATAGGGTGGCCACTGAAAAACTGAAGGGTTTAAAAAAGTCTCAACTTATGAGCAAGAAAATGGTCATTTGAGGGATGTTGTTTTCCACGCATAGTACCGAAAAAAAATCCATTAATTATATTTCCAAAATAAAATATTAAAATAATAAAAAATTTAAGAAACGTATTTGTAAAAGTTGCTTTTGTTTTATTACATCATTCAGTCTTCCAGTGACCACCCAAATTAAAAATTTTCTACGAACGGTAAACGTAATTCAAGTAGACACTGTGAATCACTGCTAGGGGCCCACACACGTGCACGATGCTAGAGTCCGTGTATCCAACTCTGTTTCATGCTTAATTGCCAGGGATATTAATTACCGGTGTTCCATAATCAGACGTAATTAGTACGACTAAGGTTTTTCTTGTCTCTCCTTTGTGTCGTTGGAAACACGGAAAAATTTAAACGATCGAACATTGCACAAAGGATATTAAAGAAATTCGAAGAAATTGATTGTGAAATAGCAAGACAACGTTGAAGCAAAAGTAACATATTTTTTATCCATTTGACGTTATCATTAAATCACGTTATCATTGTCATAATATCGTTTACATTTCAACAATGAGGAAACGCTTTAAATACATCCTGTCTTCTAAACAGCTTGTATTTTTCGCATGATACACGTTTCATTAAATTTATTTCCAAATTCACGACACTGGCACGAAGCCTCCTACAAAATTAGTAGCTGCTACAGAATTAATTTTCGAATGCACAACGCAAGCCACAAAACACTACGAAAGTAGTTTCTGATAAATATCAGCGGAATCGAACGGAATCTGAAGGATCAACGATCGAGAAGATCCTCGATAGAGAGCTCTCGTTCAAAGCTGTGTGTCTCCGATAAAAAAAAAAAAAAAAAGAAAAATAGGCCAGCGACATCGCCGTGAATCTCAATTTGCTAAATTGAAGGGGCAGGTTTCACGAAAACAAAAATAAACGAAAATAAAAATAAAAGACTCGACAGATTCTTTCTGCAGGAGCAGGGCGAAAAAAAGGTGAACGATCGGCGGCTGGAGAGTTTCGTTATCGGTCTGGCTGGGCCTGGGGATCATCGATTTTTCGTCGAGGGATTCCGAGAAGCGCCCTAAGCATTGACATTCAGCAGCCGAGGGGAACACGGCGCTCGGATGTAACGCATGCCTTCTTTTGCTTTCACGTCATGGCCGTGTTCGCGGTGTAAGAGCGAGTTCGTGTCTCTCTTTTCTTCCCTTTTTTTTTTCTTTTATTACTCTCTCCCTCTTTTTTTCTCTCTCTCTCTCTCTCGACACAAACACGGTATATACACCGATTCACAGCGCACGTTTCGAACGCGACACACACCGGGGATCAGTGAACTTGCCCATGGCCAGCAGCGGCAATCATCGTCCTCCGCGTCTTCCCCATCCTCGCGAATGATGCACGAAACGGTCGTAAATATCCGACAAGTTCGCTAAATTTCTGATCGAGTTTGGTAGCTACACGCTGCGACCGGTGAGAAATCGCTGTTGCAAACTTCGTTCGCTGAGAGAAGATTGTAACAAGATTCACGAAGCCTCTACTTTGACAGTGAGTTTCATTTTTTTCCCCCAAAAGATGACTGGAAAAGTGATTCAAACCCACGGAAAAAAAATTTTTTCTTCTTTTTAAAAATCAAATGTCTTCGTTTCTACAACGACTGCTTAAAAACTTGTTGCACGACGTCTTTCTTTCGCCACTTTGTCAAACGCCGAGTATCATATATAGCAATTTGAAAAGACCCTGATATTTCTAACCCTGACGTTTCAAGTACAGTAAAATGGTAAAAAAGATTGTCTAACGAGTTTCTCGATCTTCAGAATTAGGTTTTTTAACGTTTCTTCACTTTCTAATGTTTGAATTTTTGACAATTCTTCAGAACAAATAAATAATCTGCTACGTGGTGTGAAATTGTGAAAATGTAAAAAAACAAAAAGGCGAGCTTGCAAATATCAAGACTTTAACCTCCAAGATAATAATTGATTGTCACATGATTTTCTTTTTTTTTTTTTTTTACAAAGTTACATCCGTCTTTCTCATTGCGCTGCAGATTGAAAAATCGTAAAAACTCTTAAGTTAAGAAATTGAGAAATTGAAAAATATGATTTTTATAATGCAAAGAAGCTAGCCAATTGTGTGCCATAGCAACTCCCATTCGCGGTGATGCTGGCAGCGTTTAGTGCTCGTAAAACGAAACACAATGGGAAGAGATTCGCGTCTTGTCACCGTGCCGATTAAGCGACGTGTCCACAGGATACATAAATCACTCAGTGGGGGAGATGAGGCTCGGACAGATGTTGAAACTGAAAATGATTCGAAATGGCCGCTTAATCGGTTGATGGTTGTTTGGATAGAATTGAGGTTGAGGAGAGCTTGTTTGAATGAATTGCGGAGACTCGTCTCGGTAATATATAAATAGATCACACATGAGATTGCCTCAATAATACAAATAAACGACATAAGAACGGAGAATAAAAGTAACGCAGGAAATATCAAGATAATCGGGAATTAAGCACGAGGCTGATTTAGATCTTGGCGTTTTTAGATATGTTTCCAGAAACCAACAAGATCGGTAAGATTTCCTTTCACGTCCTCTAGAAATAGTCTGAAAAGTAGAAGACACCTGCGATCGTCTACGAAAGCGAACCATTTAATCGCGGCGTGGTCAAAGAACAGGTTAGCAATGGTTTTCAGGGAACGTTCGTTGGTTTCCGTTTACGATCGTTGAGTGAATAGGCTCGTGAGTTGTCAAATTATGACAGATCATGTAGGATTTAATATAATTAAAGTAGGTATTGAATTATTAATAGATAATTTGATACTCAGTACGAAATTCAGTAGATACTCGAGATTTAATTATCAACGGATAATTAAAATTGGTACTAACAGATAATTTAGTAGATACTACACATGAGATTTAATAGTCGACAGATAGTTAAAGTAGCTGTTTAATTATTAGTAGATAATCTAGTTTACTAAATCACTAGTAATTACTATCGCTAGTAATTATTAGTAGATAATTTAGTTTACTGAACTCGGTACTTGTATAAGATATTTAATTAATAGATAATTAAAATAAGTATTAACAGATAAGTTAGTAGATATTTACGTTGATATTAATTTAATATTAACAGTTAATTAAAATAGGTATTTAATTATTAG